TAAGGTAGAATCTTGCTTTGTTGCCCAGGCTGGAGTGCAGTGGCACAATCTCTGGCTCACTGCAAACTCTGCTTCTTGGGTTCAAGCAATTCTTGTGTCTCAGCCACCTGAGTAGCTGGGACTACAGGCACAAGCCACCAAGCCTGGCTAATATTTGTATTTTAGTAGAGATGGGGTTTCATCATGTTGGCCAGGCTTGTCTCCAACCCCTAGCCTCAAGTGATCTGTTCACCTTGACCTCCCAAAATGCTGGGATTACAGGCATGAGCCACCGTGCCCAGCCCTGTTTTAGCTTTTTATGTGGTTATGGAATATCTAGTTACCCTCAAGTGTTAAACAATTCAATTTCTTAAAATTATAAATATAACTGTATTTATGTATTATATGAATAGTTCAAGTTTCTCATAGAAAAGTCAGAAAATATTAAAGAAGAAAATCAGTCATGATTTTTAACCCACTGTTGATATTTTGGTAAGCACTGATCAACAGATAAGCACTTATGTTATTTTGGTATATATACTTGAAGCTTACTAGACTTCAAGACTATGTGTATAAAAACATATTATTTTATATATTTCACATGTATATTTTATGTTGTTCTACAAAAATGGTATCACACTTACCTACTATTCAGTAACTTGCTTTCTACACCCAACAGCACAGACTGCATGTTTTTCATATCCAAAATGTAAATCTATATCAGTATTGAATTAATTAATTAATTAATTTTTTGAGATGGAGTTTTGCTCTTGTTGCCCAGGCTGGAGTGCAGTGATGTGATATTGGCTCACTGCAGCCTCCATCTTCCAGGTTCAAGCAATTCTCCTGCCTCATCCTCCTAAGTAGCTGGGATTACAGACGCCCACCATCACACCTGGCTAATTTTGGTATTTTTAGTAGAAACAGGGTTTCACTATATTGGCCAGGTTGGTCTCGAACTCCTTACCTCAAGCGATCCACCTGCCTCAGCCTACCAAAGTACTGGGATTACAGGCGTGAGTCACCAAGCCTGGCCTATGTCGGTATTTTAAATAGCTTTGTAATACAATTAGTCTTCCCTATCAATGAGTTCCACATCTGCAGGTTCAACCAACCTCAGGTAGAACATATTTAGAAAAAACACTCCAAATAACAATAAAAAATAGTACACATAAAAATACAGTATCATTTTTGACATAGCATTTTGTACATATTTACATAGCACTTATACTGCATCAGGTATAAGTAATCTAGAGATGGTTTAAAGTATACAGGAGGATGTGCATAGGTTATATGCAAATACTACACTATTTTATATGAGGGACTTCAACATCCGTGGATTTTGGTATCTTCAAGGAGTCCTGAAACCAATCCTAGGAGGAGGTATCCACAGGGGCAACTGCATTTTATTTATGGTTAGTTCTTATTTATTTAGCGAATTGTTAGACTTTTAGGTTGCATTAAAAAAATGTCTCAAGGTATGCCTTTATACATATACTGTTGGGTACTTTGGCTAACTTCCTAGAGGTAGAATTTCTGTATAAAAGAACAGAAATAGTTTAAAAGCTTTTGATACAGATAGCCAAATTGCCCTCTTAAGATCATGTACAAATTTATATTCTCAACTACAACAATGAGAGTATCCCTTACTTTGTTTCTTTCCAGCATCATAAATGATGGTAATTCTTTTTACTTCTTGTCATATGATAAATCAACATGGTCTTCTTTGAGTGTTTTTAATGTATATTTCTTTATGACTTTTAATTATGAAAAGTTAATAAATTTTTCAGTAAACAATGTAAAAAATGTTTACATTTAATTTTTCTTTTGCAAATTGCTTGTTGATGTCTTTTGTCTATCTTTTTTTAAAAAAACAAATACAGTCATCTTTTTATTATTGATTTAAAAGAGAGCTTTATATTAAGATATACCTTGCCTTTTAAATTTTTATTTATTTTTCATTAAGGGATAGTTGATAAATACAAATTATATATATTTATGGTGTATACATATATACAATATAGTGCTTTGATATATGTATACATTGGGGAATGGTTAAACCAAGCTAATTAACATGTCAGTCACCTTTCACACTTGCCAGTTGTCAGTTTTTGTTGTGAGAATATTTAACATCTACTTTCTTCACAATTTTCAACTACTCAATACATTGTTATCAACTATAGTCACCATGCTGCACAATAGGTTTCCCTAGGTTTGTTTTATTTTTATTTTTTTGAGACAGCGTCTCACTCTGCCACTGAGGCTGGAGTGCAGTGGCACCATCTTGGCTAACCACAACTTCTGCAAGTGAATCTCATGCCTCAGCCACCTGAGTGGCTGGGATTACAGGTGTGCACCGCCACGCACAGCTAATTTTTTTTGTATTTTTAGTAGAGGCAAGGTTATGCCATGTTGGCCAGGCTGGTCTTTAATTCCTGGTCTCATGTGATCTGTGTGTCTTAATCTCCCAAAGTGCTGAGATTACAGGCTTGAGCCACTGCACCGGCCTCCCTCTGTCTGTTTCAGATACTGTTTTTGTCCATTCAGCCTGCTATAACAAAATAGTATAGACTGGTAACTTATAAACAGAAATTTATTTCTCACAGTTCTGGGGGGTGAAAAGTTGAAAATTGAAGCACTGGCAGATCCAATGTCTGATAAGGGTTTGCTTTTCATAGATAGTGCTTTCTCACTGTGTCCTCACATGGTGGAAAGGGGCTAGCATGTAGCTAGCTCTCTGGGGTTTCTTTTACAAGGGCACTAATCCCACTCATGAGGGCTCCACCCTTATGACCTAATCATCTCCCAAGGCCCAATCTTCTAATACTATCACATTGGAGGTTAGGTTTCAACATATGAATTTTAGGGGGACACAAACATTCAAATCATAGTAGATACCATCACCAGTGTGTTCAATCTAATCTGCTTTCATTTTCACCTATAGGTTTGGGACATGCCTTCTTACTGGAGAGAGCACCATATTGTTTCCCTGGGGCGCATTGCTTTGGCTCTTAATGAGAGTGAGCTGAAGCAGCTGGACCTCAGCTCCATAGACACTGTGGTTTCCCTAAGCCAGCAAACAGAATGGACCCCAGGACAGGTGGGTAGATGTTTATGAGTCTTTTAACTATTCTGTGCTTGTAAGAGCTGCCTTCATATCCTTACTGTTAATTTCATCATCACTGTCATTTCTGAGTCTGTTTCTCTTGACTGATTTTTCTCTTAGTTATGGGTCATATTTTCTTTTTTCGTTTGCAAGCACAGCAACTTTGATTGGGTGATGAACATTGTGAATTTTACATTTTGAATACTTGATTTAGCTGTATTTCTTTAGAGAATTGGGCTTTGTTTCGTCATACACTTAAATTACTTTCAAATCAGCTTGATCCTTTTGATGTTTCCTTTTGAGCTTTATTAGGGCAAGTCTAGAGTGACCTTTATTCTATGGTTAATTTATCCTCATTACTGTGACATGATTCCTTTGAGGATGTTACCTAATGCTCCATGTATTTCAAGACCTCTCTACTCTGGCTGGTGAGAAAGTGAACTATTTCCAGTTCCACCTGAGCTCTGTAAGTTGCTCAGCTTAATCCTTTCTGATTACTGATGATTCTTTTCCTGCCTGTGTGGAGTCTCACTCTTCGCATATGCAAATTAGCAATCAGTACTTAACATCTCTGCAGATTTCTGGAACTCTCTGCAGTTTCCTCATCTCCAATACTTTGCCTCACAAGTGATAAGTGTCCTGGCCTTCCGTATCTTCAACTCACCTGGACCACTGGGCTTGTTGTGTTCCTCTTCTTGATCCATGTCCTGGAAACTGCTTTTTGGCAGTAAGTGAGGATAATTTTAGAGTTCATCTTGTTTGTTTTTCTTCTTCTGGGATGATGATTCTGTGTTGTTCAATATCCGGATGTAGTTGTTGGATATATTTTGTTCAATTTTCTAGTTGTTTATGGTGGGAGGACAATTCCTGTGTCAACTCATCCTTCATGGGCTAAAGAAGAAGTTCTCTGTAGAATTTTAATTGATTTGATTGGAAGAGAAGTTTAGGGTGTCTAATCCACTGTGCTGCTGGAAAGGGAAGTCTTAGCTCTTCCATATTATCTTCATTCTTAGGCAGCTTTCTCAGTGCTCATTTTCAGCTCTAGGCTTATATAGAACCTACTTAACAAGCTCATAAAAATGTGCCTCTTCTTTATTAGTTTTTGAAAAAGTCCCAGCATTGACTTCACCCGTGTAGTTGCCCAACCCTGAGCAACCACTCTGGTCAGTGGCTGAATATGTTGGTTGGCCAGGTCTGCATCAGGGAATGGAGTCCATCTCATCACCATCTCATGATTACATGAGCTGAGTGGGGAAGGATATGTGGCAGGCTGATTAAGGTCCCCCAAAGGCGTTCATGTCTGAACCCCTGGAAGCTGTGAATATGTTAACTCATGCAGCAAAAGGGACTTTGACGATGTGATTAAGGATTTTAAGATGGGGAGGTTATCCTGGATCATTTGGGTGGGCCTGATATAATCACAAGGGTCCTTATAAGAGGGAGCAAGGTGGGTCATAGATAAAGAAGGTGATGTAATAATGGAAGCAGAGGGATGTAGAAAGAGAATTGAAGGTGCTCCTTCGCTGGTTTTGAAGATGGAGGTTGGGGCTATGAGCCAAGGGAAGGCAGGTGGCCTCTTAAAGCTAGAAGAAGCAAGGAAATGAATTCTTTTTAGAACACCCAGAAGGAACCCATCCTTCCAGTCCATTTTAGGATGTACAGTCTCCAAAACTATAAGAGAATAAATTTGTATTTTTAAAGCCACTATGTTTGTGGTAATTTGGTAGAGTAGAGCAATAAGAAGCTAATAGAGGGCAATTCTCCGAACAAAAAGTGTGGCTGCTGAGCAGCCAAAACCAATGAATGGCCCCCTACACTTAATGAGCTTTTTGTAATCACAGTTGCCATGTCTCATAATTCTGAGTGGCACCATTCAAACAGAATACAGTGTGAATGGTGCCCCCTGGGGCTGGGTAATGTGCAGATTCTGGTCATGAGGATTAAATAAGTTAATACTTGAAGACATTTTGAACAATGTCTGGTATGTAGTAGTCAATAAAAATGAGCTGTTTTCATAGTCAATATTGATATCATTGCCTTGTCATCGTCATCATCATCATCAGCATCATCATCACAGCCCCTTTCTGTGGATTAGTCTCCTCATTTGCAAGATGAGAGGGTTAGCCCCAACACTCTGAGGTTCCTTCCCAACTGATTTTCTATAATCCCATGGTTCTTTGACTCTAAAACTGGTTTTAACTAGTTTGAGAAGTGTCACATCACATTGTGCTATTAAAATCATTCTATTTGCAGTCTGGGAGAAACAGAAAAATGCATCCAACTTAGAAACTAGGGTATCTCTTTCCCTTCGCACCGATTTTAATTCTCATGGATGGCAGTGAGATTTATCAATATGTTTGAAGACGATATGAAAACCTAACATTTGCATGTATCATTTGCAGTCAGTTCTCCAACTTTAGCTCCCAATCAAACCTTAAATGCATGTTTCTAGATTAATAGTCAGACCTGACGGAACTACCTTAACAGATAGTTCAGCTCAAAAACCAATATAAGGAAAAAAACTATTATAGAAGCCAGAGGGATGAAGAGAAAGATTGAAATCTTATAGCTACTCATTTTTCAGCAGTTAATATTGCCTAAAAGTGTTGGTATTAATTGTCTTGGAATCATTACATATACACTGGTATAGTCATTCAAGGAAATATATTTTAACTTATCACCTTGCAGGCTGAGCATGCATTTTCTGGGTTTCAGTGGCAAGGACAGTTTAATACCATATCTTCAAAGTAATTTTATTTAAATTGTATTTTTGCACTTGCATTTTAAATTGATCATGCCTGATAGTTGAGGAGCCCAAATTGCTCTGAGCCAACTAGTAAAACCTGATTGTGAAGAAAAATTTGAAAGCTAACTTGAATCTCCATCTTTTCTCCATAGCCAAACAGCTTCACTGGCTGAGTATAGGCCCTGGGATCAGACTGCCTGCATTTTGATTCTAGAACATTTATTTTCTAGCTGTGTGACCTTGGACTAGTTACTTAACCTCTCTGTGCCTCAGTTTGCTCATCTGCAAATTAGGGATACTATTAACACTTACCTCATAGGGTTATTTAGGAGGATTAGATGAGACGGTATGCGTAAAGTGGCCAAAGTAGTGCCAGCACACAGTAGGCACTCAATAAATGTTAGCTACTACCAGTTTGGATGTACATTCCCATTAAGTCAAAGACATTTAAGTCTAAGCATGGTGTTACTGAATCCCCCACCCCCATAGTAGCTGTGAGCTTTGTAATCACAGAGGACAATTTGATGAGGACATGGACCAGTCTGATTTTCAGAAACATGAGAAATCTTCCTGAAGCCAGTCTATCACATGAGGCAGCAAAATGAAGCATGTCAAGGAGTATATATTGCCTGTGACTTCTGTAGGTGACTCACTGGGATGTTATTTCATTCATTCATTCATTTACTCAAGAAGTACTTATTGAACTCCTACTGTGTGGCAGGCTTTTTGCTAGGTGCTGGGGACTCAATGGTGAACTACCTGGATGTGGTCCTTTTCTTTGGGGAGCCTATTTGGTGATACAGACAAAAAAGTGAGTTATCAAAGTGAAAAATTTGAAAAATCATGACAAGCGTTAGGGAAAATGGACAAGGTTCTCACAGGAACAATGGGAAGAGAGGCTGTTTGAGATGGAAGAGTCCAGAGGGCCGCTTTCTCTGAGTAGGTAGCATTTAAACAGACCTGAGGGGTGGGAAGCACCAGCCCATGAAAACGGAATTTCATTGCAACATTCCACAGTCTTCCTCAACCCTTTCTCTCAACACTGTAATGATCTATATTGTATGATGGGGCTGACTAACATTAAAGGGAAATGGGGGCCAGGCATGGTGGCTCACACCTGTGATCCCAACGCTTTGGGAGACCGAGGCAGGTGGATCACTTGAGACCAGGAGTTTGAGACCAGCCTGGCCAAAATGGCAAAACCCTGTTTCTACTAAAAACATAAAAAATTAGTTGAATGGTGGCGGGTGCCTGTAATCCCAGCTACGCAGGAGACAGAGGCATGAGAATTGCTTGAACCCAGGGAGTTGGAAGTTGCAGGAAGCCAAGATCATGCCACCGCACTCCAGCCTGGGCAACACAGGGAGACTCTGCCTCCAAAAAAAAAAAAAAAAAAAAAAAAAAAGGGTGGGGGGGAATATTGACTATAGCCTATGATTTTCACTTCCAATTAGATGTTTGTCCATGGATGTCTCCTCATCTCTGCCTTGTGAGCTCTTATAATCTCTTTTACCTGCTCCCATGAGCACTGAAGGAATCAGACTTTATTTTGTGAGATAGTCTTACCCTGTCACCCAGGCTGGAGTGCAATGGTGTGATCTTGGTTCACTGCAACTTCCATCCCCCAGGCTTAAGCAATCCTCCCACCTCAGCTTCACAAGTAGCTGGGACCACAGGTATGTGCCACCACACCTGGCTAATTTTTGTATTTTTTTTTGTAGAGACAAGGTTTCACCATGTTGGTCGGGCTGGTCTCAAACTCCTGACCTCAAGTGATCTTCCTGCCTCAGCCTCCCATAGTGCTGGGATTACAAGTGTGAGACACTGCGCCCAGCCCAGACTTTATTTTACAGTTGATCTTTATAGGATTGGCTTGGATACTTCCTCAGGTCCTACATAGGTAGATTAAATGAATCAGCACATGTTTAGTTACAAGTGGCAGAAAACCCAGCACAAATTGGCTTGATTAAGAAAAGGGGTCGGGCATGGTACACAGTGGCTCACACCTGCAATCCCAGCACTTTGGGAGTCCAAGATGGGCAGATCACTTGAGGTCAGAAGTTTGAGACCAGCCTGGCCAACATGGCAAAACTACGTATCTGCTAAACATACAAAAAATTGGCCTGATGTGATTGTTCTTGCCTGTAATCCCGCTACTTGGGAGGCTGAGGCACGAGAATCGCTTGAATCTGGAAGAGGGAGGTTGCAGTGAGTAGAGATCATGCCACTGCACTCCAGCTTGGGTAACAGAGTGAGACCTTGTCTCAAAAAAAAAAAAAAAAAAAAAAAAAAAAAAGGAATCTATGGACTCCCATAACTGGAAAGTTCAGGGGTAGGGTTCAGGTACAGCTGGATCCAGGATCTTCAAAACTCTTGGTGGGACTCTGTCTCTCATCATGCTTTTGAATTTTGCTTTTCTTTTTGTTGGCTTCATTGAGAGGCAGGCTCTTCTCCTCCACATGATGGGTTCCAGCAGATTCTTGTGTATATCCTTCTAAGTTCAAGTCCAGAGTAAAGAAAGATTTGCTCCTAATGTTCCACTCAGAGTTCTGGTTGGCTCTGGTTGAATCACTTGTCCAATCCAGAACCAGTGACTTCAGCTAGGCTAAGATATGAACTGAGTGCTATTACTTCTGCAACTCAGTATGCAGCTAGCTTTGACTGAACCACATGAAGTAGGAATACAAGAGAGGTGGTTCTCCAGAGGACGTTATAAGTGTTGAATAGCCACTGTGCTAGAATTATGGAGACCTATGCATCAGCCACCTTAGATCAAGGCTTAGTTTAAAATGCTCCAACACTAAAGCATTTTTTGTGCTACTCTGTGGAATTGAAGAGTAAACGTAGGAATTGAAGGGACAAACATATTTTTGTAGGACCATAGAGGAGGAAAAATTCATTCTGGCTGAAACGTCTTGAAAAGGTGACATTTGAGTTGGATCAAAAAAAATAAAAAAAAGGTGGCTGGATTTTAACACTTGGAAGTGCAGAGGGGCATTTTATATGAAAGGACTGGTTTGAGCAAAGGCAAAAGTACATGAAATTGTAAGGTTTTGTGGAGAGGTTGTGGAAAGGCTGGGCGTGGTGGCTCATGCCTGTAATCCCAGCACTTTGGGAGGCCAAGGTGGGCAGATCACTTGAGGTCAGGAATTTGAGACCAGCCTTGCCAACATGGTGAAACCCTGTTTCTACAAAAAAATACAAAAAGCCAGGCGTGGTGACATGCATCAGTAATCCCAGCTACTTGGGTTGCCGAAACACAAGTTGCTTGAACCTGGGGATGTGGAGGTTGCAGTGAGCTGAGACTGCACCATTGCACTCCAGCCTGGATGACAGAGCAAGACTCCATCTAAAAAAAAAAAAAAAAAAAGGAAGAAAGAAAGAAACGTTGTAGAAAAAGATGCTGGAAAAGTTTGACTCCTGATGCAGAAGAACTTGTATGTCCAAACTGTCTGAAAGTCATAAGAGTGACTGAAGGAAATAAGCAGCAGACACAGACACAGGACACAAGTGCCTTTAATACTGGTGAAGGATATAAGAGATTCTTTGCCTGAAGACACCTCCATAGATCAGACAACATATTCAGTTGAAGTAGCATCTTAATGATACTAACTTGGATGCAGAGGCCAGGATGGTTTGGAGTGGGGATTCCAGAGGAGTGGGATGGGAGATCAGTCAGGAGACTACAGCAAAGCTTATTTATCCCCTCAGGCCTGGGGACCTTGATCATTCCTGGGTAGTTTATCTTTTATTCTTTCTCATGTTTTTAGGCTGAATCCATTTTGCAAGGGTTCCTGGATGATTCTGGCTACCGTATCGAGGACCTGAAGAGCTTTCATTTAGTAGGACTTGGTGCAAC